TGGGAAAAACTCACAGCTAATATCCTCGATGGGGAAGTATTGAGAGCTTTTCCCCTAAGATCAGGAAAAAACAAAGATGTCCACTCTCACACTTTTATTCAACATAGTACTGGAAATCCTAGCTGCAGGAATCAGACAAATAAATAAATAAATAAATAGTCATCTAAAACAATAAGGAAGAAGTAAAACTTCCACTATTTGCAGATGACATATAACACTTTATAGAAAAACTGAAATTCTCCACCAAAAAACTGCTAGAACTGATAAACAAATTCAGTAAAGTTGCAGGATACAAAATTAATGTACAGAAATCTGTTGCATTTCTATACACTAATAATGAGGCAGCAGGAAGAAAAAATAAGAAAACAATGCTATTTGCAATTGTACCCAAAATAATAAGATACCCAAGAATAAACCTAACCAAAGAGGTGAAAGACCTGTACTCTGGAAAGTAAAAAAACATTGATGAAAGATATTAAAGATGACATAATGGAAAGACTTTCCATGGTCATAGATTGGAAGAACAAATATTTTAATATTTTTTAAAAGTCTAATTAGCCAAAGCAATCTACACATTTAATGCAATCTCTATCAAAATATCACCAGCATTTTTCACAGAACTAGAATAAACAATTCTCAAATTTGTACGGAACCACAAAAGACCCCAAATAGCCAAAGCAACCTTAAAAAAGAAAAGAAACCTGGAGACATCACAATTCCTGACTTAAAGGTATATTACAAAGCTGTAGTGATCAAGACAGTATGATACTGGCACAAAAATAGACACATAGATCAATAGAACAGAATAAAAAAAAAAACAGAAATAAACACACAACCATATGGTCAATTAATCTTCAGCAAAGCAGGAAAGAACATCCAGTAGGAAACAGTCTTTTCAACAAATAGTGTTGGGAAAACTGGAGAGCAACATGCAAAAAAACGAAACTGGACCACTTTCTTATACCATACACAAAAATAAATTCAAATTAGATTAAAGACCTAAATTTGAGACAGGAAACCATTAAAATCCTAGAAAAGACCACAGGCAGCAACCTCTTTGACATCAGCTGTAGCAACTTCTTACTAGGTAAGTCTCCTGAGGCAAGGGAAACAAAAGTCAAAACGAACTATTGGCACTTCATCTAGATAAAAAGCTTCTGCACATCAAAGGAAACAGTCAACAAAACTAAACGGCAACCTATGGAATGGGAGAAGATATTTGCAAATGACATATCTGAGAAAGGGTCAGTATCCAAAATATATAAAGAACTTATACAACTCAACACCCAAAAAACAAATAATCCAATTTAAAAATGAGGAGAAATAGGAACAAACATTTCTCCAGAGACATATAAACACATGAAAAGATGTTCACCATCACTTTCCATTTGGGAAATGCAAATCAAAACCAAAACCACAATGAGATATCACTTTACACCTGTCAGAATCACTAGAATCAAAAAGACAATAACAAGTACTGATGAAGATGTGGAGGAAAAGGAATTTTCATGCACTGTTGTTGGGAATGCCAAATAGGTACAGCCACTGTGGAAAACTGTTTTTCCACTTGGCCGCATATCAGTTATCTACCCTTCTTTAATCTCTGCTCTCTGCTAGGGAAAGCTGATCCCTTTGGACTGTATCTCAGGTTTATTTGCTTGCTCAATTCTAGTTGAAGTTCCTGACTCTAGGCAATTCAAGGCACCAGGAAGACATGAACAAATTTAGAAGGAAAGCCATCAGGATAATTTCTCCCTACTCTGTCTCTGTTTAAATACATCTCTGAGAGTAGCAACATCCGTCTAGCATGCTCAGAGCAGCTCCATCCACAGTTCTCAATCACCCTCTACATGGATGAGGCTTTCTCCTTCTATTTGTCTTTCAATGGGGAACATGCTTCCCCCTGAGGCTAATTTCTTGATGCCCCACCATCCATTCTGTATTCCCAGATTCCCACTCAAAATGGTAGATATATCTTCATTAGACATTAGAGTCATTTTATCTAAACCATCCAAGATGAGTTCTCTTATATGTAAAGTCCCTCTTCCCCCCATACTTAAATGATTTCTAATGGTATCATTGAGCCACCAACCTACCAGACTACTTTTTGCCTAAGAAACTTAGCCCATCTAACATTTAAACTGTAATTGCACAGAGTTCCTCTTCCTTGCACCAAAACTCACTCCACTGTCCTATATAGGTTTTATATTAAATGCAACTTCCTCTGGGGATAAGTCCCTCTCAATACTGTCAGTTTTGCATTGTCTGTAAACCCCCATTGTAATCTCTCTCTCTCATTTTAATTGTCTTCAGAAGTAGAGTGTTCTATGGTATTCTTCACTGATCATCAGAATTATATTTCTAGAAAAGTATTAGTTTAAAAGAATTATGAGCACTTATTAACACTGAAAAAACATAAATGAAATATTTATTAAATCCAAGTAAACATTTTTAAATTATTATCAAATAGAGTTTATACAAGTTTTGCAAAGATGAGTCAATCACAGTAAATATAAGAATACAATTCATTAGAATAATAGCCTAAAAGAAAAATGTCACGTAATTTTTAAAGTAAATACAGGGGGAAAAAAGCATCTGGTAGAGTTCAATGGCAACTTGTGATTTTTTTTAAATCTCAGAAAACCAGAAATGAAATGGAAATTCTTGTATCTATTAAGAAATATATGCCAAAACCAACTTTTAATAATATACTTAGTGGAAAAAACTTGAACACATTACTTTTAAGACTTAAAAAAAAAAAAAAAAGATTGCCTGCCATTTTGCTCTCTACTAATGTCCCAGGTCAATATAAGATAAGGAAAAACATGGTTAATGCACAATTCAAAATTATGAAATAATTAACTGAGTTTTAGCCTTAACTTGTTATTGCTGGTATACAAGGAGTGTGTTTAAGGTAGCATTGTTATATAAATGCTTATTTATGTTTAATATAGCATTGTTACCTGACCAATTTATTGAAGCTAATCATTATTTATTTGATTCATTCAATTATTCAACAAGTATTTATATAGCCTATTGTAAGCAAATGACACTCTCTTTTAAGTTAGACTAGAAATGATGGTAAACTAATTTGAAGAACACTAAGGAGACATATCCATGGATATAATGGTTGATTGGATAAGGAAAGTGAGAGAAGAGAGGATTCACAGATGTCTCGTATGTTTCTGGTTGAGGCGGCCAAGCAGAAGGAGAAGTTTTAGTCTTTTTTCTTGCTTTATTGTGTATTTTACAGGGACATAATGGTTTCTATACTGAAAAAGAATACTCATTGGGAAAGTGACAAAAGGACTTCAGTAACATGTGAAGTCTTTGGAGCTATGAACAGTCCTGAAAGTACTACTCCTGTGGAGTAGGGATGTAATTCATAATGGCTACTGCTTATTCTTAGTGCATGTGGCAGCCTATTGCCTGTCAGTGATATTATAGCTATTTTCCTTTCTACAAAGACAGAGAGGAATGCCTATAGGAATTAACTGGAAAGTAACCTCCCAGTATTTTAGTCAGGTTGGCTTTTAGCAAAATATATTCATGGGATGTAAAATACAAATTCAGCCCACCTTACTATGTCCATATACATCAACTTGATCAACAAAGTTGATTTGTTGAAACAGATTTTTGCAAAATTTTTAATTAAATTTTAAAAACAAATACCAGGATTGTGAGAAGAGTTGGCATCATGGTACCAAAGAAATAGTTTAAATAATTATGCATTCATTCAAAGAAGTTGTACACCATGTACAGACAATCCAGACTTACAATGATTTGACTTAAAAATTCTTGAATTTACAATGGTGCAAGAGTGATTCATAGAAATCATACTTCAAATTTTAAATTTTGATATTTGTCAGGATAACATGTAGTCTCATGATGCTGGGCAGCAACAGCAAGCCACGGCATAGCCCCCAGTCAGCCACATGATCACGAGGGTAAAGAACTGATACATTCACAACCATTCTGTACCCATACAAGCGTTTTACTTTCAGTGTAGTATTAAATAAACTACATGAGATATGTAACACTTTATTATAAAATGGGCTTTGTGTTAAATGATTTTGCCCAATTGTAGGCTATTGTAAGTGTTCTGAGGGTGCTTGAGGTATGTTAGGCTAAGCTATGATGTCCAATAGTGTCCAATAGGTCAAATATATAAAGTGCATTTTTTACTTAAAATATTTTCAGTTTATGATGGATTTATTGGGGTGTAATCCCATTGTAAATTAAGGAAGACTTGTGGTCTATTCCATATTTTGAAAATGTTTAGGTAAAGGGAAGATTATATTTTCAAGGGACATTTTTTTTTCTGGCTCTGCAGGCCAAAGACCAAATCAATAACATTGAGTTAGTAGAAAGGCAAATTTCCAGTTTAATCTAATTGGAAAAAAAAGCATAATAAGCATATATTTCAAACCGTGGGATAAAACATTTTATTCAAACAATATTCAAACAAACTTGAATGACTACTACTCAAAGGTATTTGACAGGAATTTGTATAGTAGATAAAGCCAGATGTCCTCTAAAGTCCCTACCAACTTGGAGATTGTATACTTCTAAATAAACTATCTAAAATTAAAGTAATCCCCCAAAATTATACGTAGAATTGCTCACGTTTTATATTTTCAGGTGATAAAACACTACTTTGTCTAACTCCATCTTCAAAATAGACTCTCAGCTCTGTAAGATGGGTATTTTTATACCCACTGAAAATAATAATGACAATAAAAGAAATTACGAGTTGACCATTGTTATGTAGCTAGTTATTGGTAGAATGAAGATAGACGTAGGTAAACTTCTCACTTACCTAATCCTTGTAAATAAGCTATAAAAATATAATAACATGATTAAATGAATTCTGACACAGGAGTTTGGCTACTCAGAAATAAAATAAACTTGACCAATTTCTTCAGAATTAAAAGCATCTCATGAATTGTTTGCATTAAGCAGTTCTTCAGTTTCCATCATCTCTTCAAACTCCTTTTTCTTTAATCTTTCCCTATCATCTTCCTCAGTGCCCCTTTCATGTCTTTGTTACATAATGTGTAGATGAAGGGATTTAGAGCTGGGGTGACAATTCCATAGAGCAAGGCCAGGAACTTGTCCTGGTTCTGGAAGGTGGTATCCACACAAGCCAGTTTGAGGAGAACTGGTACTTCACAGAAGACATGGTCTATGACATTCCCTCCACAGAGGGGAACCTGTGTGATGAGCACAGTCTGTACCAGTGAGCTAGCCAAGCCAGTCAGCCAGGTGGTGGCTGCCAGTTGCCAACAGATGCATGGATGCATGAGAATGGCATAGTGCAAAGGCCGGCATCCTGCCACATAGTGGTCCACAGCCATGACCGCAAGGAGAATGCATTCTGCGGAACCCAGGGCCAAGGACACGTACAGCTGACCAACACAGCCACCATATCTTATTATCTTTCCTGGGCCCTGCAGGTTAAACAGCAGCTGGGGGACTGTGCTGGTGGTGTAGCAGAGGTCCATTAAAGACAAGTGGGTGAGGAAAAAATACATCGGGGTGTGGAGCCGGGGATCCAGATGAGCCAATATAATGATGGCCATATTGGCAAGCAGAGTCAGCAAGTAGAAAACCACAGTGATAACAAAAAGGGTCATCTCTAACAGAGGCTGCTCAGAGAAGCCCAACAGGAAAAATCCACCAAAGGAGCTGGTATTAGGAATAACCATTACTTTTCATTGCATATATGAGACTGAAAGAAATCTGTCATCATCTTTCCTGGGTGCCAACCTAAAAGATGCAAAGAAAGCACATTCCTCTCTGAACCATAAATAATCACTTAAAATTTAAACCCTCACCCCTCTCTTATGCCTACATTAATATTTTCTTCCTGCCTTCCTTAGAATTTTTGTCATTTGCTTATTTTATATATTTACATTGTCTGGGACCTTGACTACTCCCATTTTCTTTTACCTCTGCCTTCAAATATGCATATATATCCCATATTTTGAAAAACTGAGAACAGAAATTTTCATTCTGAATGTTGCTAAGGACTTCATATATGTTGCAGCATGCTCGGAGCTTTGTCGGAAGGTTCCATCTGCCAGATCCTTATTGCCAAAGAAATTCCTTAAACATGATCATAATATAGAATAGGCAGGGAAATGAAAGTACATTTGACCACTTTAAAATGGATTATGTTGGTGTACTCACAATGAACACCATCCATATTTTACTTTCCTAATATTTTTTAATTGGTTTATACTTTCTGAAAATTTAATTGAACTATAAATGTGTTGTATGATACATTTTGCCTACATGATAACATTCATATATTGGAAAAGGACAAAATTATTTAAAATATTTACATGAAATCCAAATAATATTGTTTTCAAGTTAGCACACCCTCCATGACATAGAGTGAACAGATTGGTAGTTTTGGATCTATGTGCAAATAATTCATTCAATTAACTGACATAAGAGAAACATATATCTGGTAAAATACTGAAAAAAAATCGTATGAGCTTCCCTTAAATCTAGTTAATAATATAAAACTTTATTCAATTATGTATTTATTATAAAAGAGCCATAAATAAGTGATTGCTTTATTTTCCATGAGCCTCTTCTCACGAGATCTATGGACACATACATATGAAGAGAAATAAGGGCATTGTCACTGACGTTGTTTACCTGAGGTCGAAAAGCAGACGCCAGCAAAGAGAAAATGAGTCTAATCTTGGAATAGACTCTCCCTTGTCTCTAAAATGAGAATATAAGGAAGTAAGGAAGAGGGATATATAGTATGTTTACTTGGCTGAGGTCACTGGGGCAAAGAACCCCAAGGAAGTAATTAAGACATGTGTTCACTAGTGTATAGTTCATCAGGAATCACTTAGGGAAAAGGATGTCTGTAGGATACAAATTTTTGTCAGTCTAATCTTACTACTTAGCAAGCGGTTATTTGAACTTTTCAGGATCCAAATAAGATGACCAACTTACTTCATTAAGTATTATAATTTCCAGAGCTACCCATGTTGTTGCAAATTACAAGATTTTGTTCTTTTCTGAAAAAGAAGAAGATAGCAGGAGGGGAAGAATGAAGGGGAGTAAGTCAGAGGGGGAGACGAACCATGAGAGACGATGGACTCTGTAAAACAAACTGAGGGTTCTAGAGGGGAGGAGGGTGGGGGATTGGGTTAGCCTGGTGATGGGTATTAAAGAGGGCACATTCTGCGTGGAGCACTGGGTGTTATGCACAAACAATGAATCATGGAACACTACATCAAAAACCAATGATGTAATGTATGGTGATTAACATAACAATAAAAAAATTTAAGAAAAAAGATTTCGTTCTTTTTTTATGGATGAGTAATATTCTAACATTATATATATCTTTATCCACTCACTGATGGACACTAGGGCTGCTTACATAATTTGGCTATTGTAAATAACATGTAATAAATATAGGGGTGGTGCAGATATCTTTTCAAATTAGTGTTTTTGCATTCTTTGGGTAAATAACCAGTAGTGGAACTACTGGATCATATGGTATTCTATTTTTAATTATTTGAGGAAACTCTATACTGTTTTTCACACTGGCTGCACCAGTTTGCATTCCCACCAACAATACGTGAGCGTTCCTTTTTCTCCACATCCTCACCAACACTTGTTTCCTCTGTGTGTGTGTGTGTGTGTGTGTGTTAGCCATTCTGATAGATGTGAGATAATATCTCATTGTAGTTTTAATTCACATTTCCCTGATGATGAGTGATATTGATCATCTTTTCATGTGTCTGTTGGCCATCTGTACTTCTTCTTTGGAGAAATGTTTGTTCATGTCTCTGCCAAACACCCTGTCTTTTGACTGGAGCATTTAATTCACTTAGATTCAAAGTAATTATCAATAGGTATGTACTTATTGTAATTTTATTTCTGGTTTTATGGTTGTTTTTGTAATTCTTCTCTGTCCTTTATTTTTGCTTTCTTTAGTGATATGCTTGGAATCCTCTAAATTTCTTATGTGTCTGTTATAGGTTTTTTATTTGTGTTTACCATTACATTCACACATAACATCTCGTGAATATAGCAGTCTATATTATGTTGATGGTCACTTAAGTTTGAGCCCATTTTAAAAGCACTAAATTTTTACTCCCCTCCCCATGTTTTATGAATATGATCTCATAGTTTACATTCTTTATTTTGTGCATTCCTTGACTGATTTTTGTATTTATAATTGATTTTACTGCCTTTGTGCTTTAACCACCAAACTGATTTTATAATCATTAGTCTACTATTTTTTTATATGTTTGCATTACCTTTTAAATGTTTTCCTTTTATAATATTCTTACTCTTGATTATGGTCTTTTCTTTCCACTCAAATAATCCACATTAATGTTTTTTGTAATGCTGGTTTAGTTGTGATAAACCCCTTTAACTTTTGTTTGTCTGGGGAACTTTATATCCCCTTCTACTCTGAATAATGACCTTGCTGGGCATTCTTGGATGCAAGTTCTTCTTTTTTGTTCTTTTTTTTTCCTTTGAGGGCTTTGAACCTATCATGCCACTCTCTTGTTGCTGTAAAGTTTTTGTTAAAAGATCAGCTGATTGAATGGATAAAGAAGATGTGACCCATATATACAGTGGAATATTACTCAGCCATCAGAAAGGATGAATACCCAACTTTTACATCAACATGGATGGGACTGCAGGAGATTATGCTAAGTGAAATAAGTCAAGCAGAGAAAGTCAATTATCATATGGTTTCACTTATTTGTGGAACATAAGGAATAGCATGGAGGACATTAAGAGAAGGAAGGGAAAAATGAAGGGAGGGAAATCAGAGGGGGAGACGAACCATGAGAGATGATGGACTCTGAGAAACAAACTGAGGGTTTTAGAGGGGAGGGGGGTGGGGTATGTGTTAGCCTGGTAATGGGTATTAAGGAGGGCACGCACTGCATGGAGCACTGGGTGTTATACGAAAACAATGAATCATGGATCACTACATCAAAAACTAATGATGTATTGTGTGGTGACTAACATAACATAAAACAAAAAGAGATCAGTTGATAACCTTATGGGCTTTCCCTTGTTTGTAACTTTTCTATGCTGCTTTAAAAGTTCTCTGTCACTACTTTTTTTTTAAAGATTTTATTTATTTATTTGTCAGAGACAGAGCGAGTGCACAAGCAGGAAGAGGGGCAGGCAGAGGGAGAAGCAGGCTCCCCCCTGGGCAGGGAGTCCTATGCAGGACTTGATCCCAGGACCCTGGGATCATGACCTGAGCTGAAAGCAGACACTTAACCAACTGAGCCACCCAGGCATCCCTCTATCATTACTCTTTACCATTTTAATTGTTATGTGTCTTGGTGTGGACCTCCTTGGGTTGATTTTGTTGGGGGCTCTCTGTGCCTCCTGAATGTGGATATCTGTTTCCTTCTCGAGGTTAGGGAAAATTTCAGCTATTATTTATTCAAATAAATTTTTTGCCCCCATCTCTCTGTCTTCTCTTTCTGGGATCCTTATAGTGCCAATGTTATTAGGTTTGATGATGCCACCTAGTTCCCTTAATGTATTTTTTATTTTTTTATTATTCTTTTTTTTATTTGCTATTCAGCTTTATTACTTTCCATTACCCTGTTTTCCAGACCACTGATCTGCTCTTCTGCTTCCTCTAATGTTTTAGTGATTCCCTTTAGTGTATTTATTTTGAAATTTCAGTTATCATGTTCTTTATTTCTAGTTCATTTTTATATTTCCTATATCCTTGTTGAAGATCTCACTGATATTTTCCACTCTTTTCTCAAGTCCAGTGAGTACATTTATGACCATTACTTTGAATTCTTTATCAGGCGTATCCTGTGTCATTTTGCTCTTTTGCTGGGGTTTTGCCCTGTTCTTTTATTTGAGACATATTCTTCTGTTTCTTCATTTTGTCTGACTCTGTTTATTTCTATGTATTTGGAAAGTCAGCTATGTTCCAGATCTTGAAACTAGTGGCCTTATGAAGAAGAGATCCTATGGCGCCCTATCATACAATATCCCCTACTCACCAGACCAAGCACTTGGGGTGTGTCTCTTGTGTAGGTTTCAGGTGCCCAACTCTTGTGGCTGAACCATGTTTATTTTCAGTCCAGTTGGCTGCAATGTTCTGACACACTAGGGAGGGCTGTGTTCCTGTGCCGTTATTGGGCCTGTCTGGGGCCACCGTGGGCTTGTAGTTGCCATGTCAGCAGTCAGAGCTGATGCCTGCCTCAGGCTATTTGCTGGGACCACAGTCACACTGAACTGCAGGGCCCTCTCACTATGCTGCCCCCTAAGAGACTTTTGTTGCTGGGCTGATCTGGCCATCAGACCAGATGCCTACTCCCACTCCATTTATTGGGACTGTAGTCATACCATCTTGCAGGGTGCTCTTCACTATATTGTCCCATGAAAAGCTTTCATTTGTGGGTGGGACCAGACAGACTAGATGCCTGCCCTGGCTTGCCCACCAGAGCGCAGTTGCACTGATTAGCAGTGTGCTCTCTCTGCTGCCAGGTATAAGATTCAGCTGCTTGGACTGCTGGTGCACTGGTCTGATCATCTTCCCCCTCCCCAGGGCAGGAGTCACTTCCGAATGGTGCTGGTCCCTGTTGGGGTTGCTTCCAGGGTGTGTTGGGGCAGTAGTCACTTTGGAGGGAGGCCTACAGAATGCGGTGGGCTGACTGGGGTGGATTTGGAGGAGAATATGTGGGTGAGGTGCATGGTGTTAGCAAGGTAGGTGGAGGCCATTCTTGCCAATCCGCACAAATGTCTTGCTATCTAGAAAATGGTGTCTTTTTGTTCTTGGAGAAGTATTTATTTACTTGAGATTAGTAAATAAATCTCTTGTGTATTCTAGGTACTTTTCAAACTGCTGATTCCATGGTTATTTTTTTTATGCTATCTCTTTAAGGGTGGAGACTCAGTTTTCTACTGCTCTCCAGCTGTCCTGGAGCTAAGCCTACTTATTTTTAAAGTACCTGGAGTTAAGGCCCACTGATTGTAGAAACTCACCAATTTAAGCCCCACTTGTTATCAAGGCCAAATATTAGGGGGACTCATTTTAGTGCAGGTCCCCCATATCTGGGGTGCCTGGTGTGGAAGTCTTTTCTTCTTGTTTCACCGTGCTTATGGCGTCCCTTTTGTTTGTGGTTAGTCCTGCCAGGTACTTGCTTCCCAAAGTGTCTGCCCTTCCTACCTTTTCTGATATGGCCTCTTCTCGATAATTAACTATGGAAAATCTGTTCTGCCAGTCTCCAGGTCCTTTTCAGAGTTAGTTGCACTAATGTGTCTATTATCTCAGTGTATTTGTGGAGTGAGGTGATCTCAGGATCTTCCTACTCTGCCATCTTCCCAGAACTCCCAAAATGCCTGAATTTTAAGACCAAACACTCTTTACAATCCTTCAGCAGAGGTAACTAGTAATAGATTAAATTAACTAGTATGTTGTGAACAAAGCTATATGCACAAAGTTTACTTTTGGGTTTTTGTTTGTTTGTTTGTTTGTTTTTGTTTCTTACTGATCTTTGAACAGAGTCTTCTGATTTATCATTGGAGAAAAAGACAGTGGGTAACTAAACTTGATGCATTTCTTCATTTTAATGACTTTCAGCTTCCCCTCTCAGAAAAGTCAATATCAAAATCTATTGATTCTTGGAACTCTTACCACAATTTACAAACAAGAATTTCTAATACATGAAAGAATAAAAATTTAAGTAAAAATCAGGTTAGCAAAGGGTCTGGTCACTGGTCTTATATTTTAAAACTTTATTGAGTAGATTACACCTCAAAAGTGAAATAGATAATTATGAGCAGAAATTTTTGGCATTTGAAATTTGGAGAGCAGTGTTGGAATTGGATATTAGGTCAAATATCTATGGATGTCCATTGCCCTAGGAAGGTTCCATCACCTCCATGTCTTCAAACCTTACAAACAAAAAGATGTAGAATACTCTATACCTTTATGTCAATTTATATGGCTTAACCCAAACCACAGAATTGTCATGTTCCAAAGATGTAGAAACACTTCCCTGGAGGTCACTATTCTGTATCATCTCTGTTAGTGTAAGATGATGAAGCATGAGATTTCTAGTGGGGAAGCACAAGTTCATAATCATGCTCAAGGGTACAGGAAGAAGGCCTAGTAACACAAGTCATCTTGACAAGGGCATATTCTGTTTCTGACCCATTTCTAAATGGCCTCACTCTCTTTGTGGTAGAGTCGATATTCTCATAACCATCATCATTGGAGCTCAGAGAGGGCCTCCGATAAGGTCTGTGACTAATGATGGAGTAGCACAGTTCCTCAGAACCACTGCCATTCTCATTTTCCTGCCAAGCACAAAAACAATAATAACAATAAATAAAGGATCCAAGACCATCCATCAAATTTGAGCTTAGTGACTGCACTTCCTTTCTTCTTGTCTGACAGTGATCTTACACATCAGGTATCCAAAGCCCTTTCTCCAAATCCTGATATCTTACAGACTTCATTTTAGCAAATATGGACTGTGCTCCAAGCTACTATTCATTATGCTTTCATTTCACTTCAAATAACAAAAGAGAAAAGAAGTATATTATTATCCTTCTGAATATCTAAAAGAAAGCAGTTGTATACATTGTCACACATATACAGACATTAAATATGCAATAATCATACCTCAAATGAGTAATTAATCAAACTACATAAAAAAACAAGTTTCATAAGACAAAGTAAAATTAAATTTCTGAGCTTAAATACATTCTCAGTTGCATAGACTATGAAAGAAACATGAAAACATTAAGATACTATATTGTAATTAAATCAATAAAATGTTTGTGATGTAGTATTAAAAGGAATAAACATTTTTATGTCTATTAATTTCCACCATATTTGTAAATATAAATGTTAACTCCTGGGCTTAACTATTAGAACACAACGTGGATAACAAAAGAATTAATGTTTTATAGTAGTCAAATTATAAGTGTAAATTTATTTCATTTTATTGTTGTTATGGTAGTTTTGAAAATTAAAATAATAAACTTCAGTAGAATTGGGTCAACAATTAGACATTGCCAGTCACTAAAATCAGTTAAAATAATGTTTTATTTTTTTAATGTTCTCTATTTCAACATTAAAATGATAAATAAAAGTATTTAAAGCATAAGATACTTTCATAAGCTCATTCAGAAATTACAAGACCTACAGCTATCTTTAAATAAAGTAATCTGTATTTTGACATTTATCACACAAATTAATATTTTTATTACCTGATTAGAAGTAGATGAAACTTCTTTACCTGAAGGATTAAAAAAAATAAGATTTTTTGAACTATCACAAGATGGGGAGAAAGGGGGAAAGGAAAGAATACAGTGACAAAACTGCAAGGAAGTACACTATCTAAGTATGTGACATTATCTCATTTTATTATTGAGGTTCTCAAGCTGAATGACAAGATCAGAAAAGAATAAATGTTAATATATGTGAATCAATGTAAAAGAACATATGTGAATATATGTTCAGGAAGCATGAATACTGTGTTTCTGTGTAATTTGCTAAAATAAATTTGCTAAATAAAGGTAGATTTTGGATTTGAGTAATAAAATTTTCTTCACAAACATGCTATGACAATAAACTATGGCAAGTTCAAAGAAAGAACAATTATATATGAAATTCACGATATAAATTCTATAATATGACAGAGATAGATACTGAAGTAACAAAATCAACTATTTCAAATTAAATACAAATATTAAGATTCAGGTTAATTGCATCTATGAATGCTAAAGTAACATATTTTTGTTGTTAATCTGAGATCCACAACTGGTATTTTTTTTTAGAGAATTATTTATTTGCTCAAATCTGTTTTTTTAAAGTTTATTTTTCTTTTTTATTTCTCTTGCTTCCGGAGACATATCTAGAAAGAAGTTCCTATGGACAGTGTCAAAGAGATTAAAAAACTAAAAGGCACATATGGAACGGTAGAAGATATTTGCAAAAGTCATATTTGATAAAGGGTTAGTATATAAAATATATAAAGAACTTATAAGACTCAAAAACAAAAATAAACAATCCATTACAGGGGGGCGGAGCAAGTTGGCAGAGGAGTAGGAGACCTGGATTTCACCTCCCAGGAATTCAGCTGGATAGGGATCAAACCATTGTGAACACCTACGAACTCAACAGGAG